ATTTCTCTTGAAGGGATGAGGATTTCTCTTGTATGTTATTGAGAGATGAGGATTTCTCTCGAGGGGATGAGGATTTCCCTGCATACCGATAGCTCGACGACGGTTGGGGCGTTACATAACCTAATTATTCTGTTTGTGTCTCTGTTTTTAATTCATAAACGACATCAGTTTTTGTTTTATTATAAATGCTAACGATTTTTTGTGTTTGTTCTCTTGGATTTATTTTTGAGTATTGTGATCCCATCATCAAACCCTAATCATAGTCACTTTTATATATTGATTTTGTGTTTGCTTGGGTCATAAGCTAATCTATGTATTTATCTTTTTGTATCAAATAGGTGATGAGCTTCTCTCTGATTCCTTTACTTACAAGGAAATCAAAACGGCATGTTGTGGGAAGTTGAAGGAAAGGTACTAAGGTGGTGGTGGAGACTTTACCGGAGGTGATGAAAAATTTGTATTCGTCGGATCTCTTGTGTTTTCTTATAAATCTGTGTGTTCTTATTCGAAACTAATTAGTTTATGTTATATAGGTTGTACCCTCGCAATCGAGGTTAGTTTTGATTCTGAATATATTTATTGTTTTTTTAATGTGTTAGTGTGTGTTCTTATTCTCCCGTACAAATATGGTATTATATAGGTTTTGTATAAATCTGTAAATCCCAGATTCACTAATAGGCTTGGGGCTGCTGTTTTATATGAATTACGATTCGGTTTGTTTTAATTCGTATTTTCTGTTATCTACGTTGATATTAGTATTAGTATTACAATCATATACATGTACACGATATATGATTGTAATCATATATGTTTTTATTTCATACACGATATTAGTGTTTGTTTTTTGGATTTTGCATTCTTCTTTTACGTAACCGCTTAGGATTTTTATTATATATTTGTGCTCTTTTTTTCTTTTGAAACTTGAAAATATGTTTGTGCTTTTTTTTTTGGTCAACATATGTTTGTGCTCTTTAAACCTAATTATTTTGTTCTTTTACAGATTTCAACGTGGTCATTGTGGTATGAGTGATTTAGGTATGATTGTCTTTCATATTTGCTTTGTTTGTTGATAGGGATATAATTATAGTTATTCGTATCTATTAATATTTTTTTTTTCGGGTTTATCAATAGGTAATGAGTAGTTTTTCAGGTTCATCTATTTTTTTACCTATGAAACGATGTTTTTTGTTATATAGTTTGTTTCGCATGTTTCATTCTTTGCTAACTTATTTCAAGTTTGTATCAACTATCTCCATTTATAACTTTCTATGTTTGTGTTCTTTTGACCTTTCTCTCTTTTTTTCCTAGACTTGAACATCTTCATAGAGGTATGATTGTCTTTGGCGAACGCTTTTGTTATTATATGTTTTTTTTTCGAGCTCTTTGTATATATATATTTTTATGCTCCTTTATCGTTTAGGATTTGCTTCTCTGCCTTTCTCTTTTCTGATTTTTAATTAGGATTACAAATTTAAAGTAATTCCCATATCATTGATAATTTAAGTGATTCATTGATTTGGTTAGTGCAATTGGTGTGGTGATATTTGGTTGGTACACTGGTGATCGTTGTGTGGTTCTCCACCAAATAATAAGTTTTCCACAAGAAAATTTTATTATTTTATGTGATAAGCTAGAGCTTCCCGATGAGTTCTTAGTCTCTCTTGCATCATATGCAATTTCTAAGAACTTATGAAACAATAGTTCTTTGATATTTTCCGTGTTATTACCAATACATCATTCTTATGCTTTTGTTTTTAACTTTAAAGATGTGTGTTTTTTATATGTTATTGGATATACAATTTTTTTTGCAGATATGTTATATACTTAGCTCAAATATTCTACCAAATCGTTTTCCTTTTATTCTGTTGACGAGTTTCTTTGGAAGAGAACTCTTGATTCAACTGAAGAAGTATATTATAACATGTGCTGAATTTGATTCGCTATCAGCTTAAGAATCTAAATTTGAGCTCTTTTCTACATTGGTTCTTTGAGATGATTTCTTTTTGTAGATTCTTGGGATATGGGTTTATTTTCATCCTCATATTGAGGTAGTTTTTGAGTTTGAAGGTTTATTGTGCATCAGTTACTAAAGAATGTTGACTTTGGTCTGTATGATGCAAGAAAACTAATTGTGCTCCTAAGAGATCGTAGAAAGTTAATGGGATTACATAGGCCTAAACGAATGTCGCATTAAATATTCTGATTGGTGAGCTGGTAATACTTCTCCATTTACTTTTGTTTATATCACTTTGTGTTTTTCAATTCATTGGTTTTGCTTTAAACCATGTGCCGGGACGGAGAGAGACGAACTTCCTCCACATATGATTCATCTGTCAAAATGTAATACATCACATTACATGTTTAAAAAAAATAGATATAAAAAAATTGATCTATTTTGTGATGTTGTTTACGTGTTGATGATTTGGTTTTTGGGGAATGTGTGTGTTGATGTAGGAGTAGAATGTGGAGAGAGAAGCAAGTGAGTTGAAAGGAACGATGAGGAAGAGAATGGAGTTTCTTGACTATGATTAAAGCGGATTGTGTCCCATTCGTTCTTGGCTTGATGCTCTGCTTTGGTTTGCACATTTTATGACGAGCCTTCTTGTTGTGTGGTTGGAGATAGTTGATTTTAGGTGACTTATACAAGAACTGAAAATCTTAATTTTTTTAGTGTTTCAAGCAGCTCTCAATATGTTTTTTATTGATTTGAATACTAATCTTAACGATGTGTTCTTCTGAATATAGTTTACTGAGTCCATTGGAAGTTATAGTTACTTAGGAGTTTCATGACAAATCATCGGGTGGGTTTTCTAATGGTATTATATATGATAATATCTATCGGTTGCTTTTTTGTTATTTCCACAGTTAATATTAACTTTACTACTTTCTTGAGTTGTCCAATTGTGCTATTTTGATTATTTGAACAAGCTTATTTTGTATTATTCCTTTTGGTTTTGGTAAATACGAAACATATATATAACCGTTTACAAGTCGAGAGCATGAGAAGCCAAACAATGAGGTAAGTATGAAAATCTTTGAATATGAATAACAAAGTTAGTGTCCTGTTTCGTATAAAGTAATTGATTCGTAGATTGTTAGGTTG